ATAAAAATAAAATACAACAATTTCTATGAATTCACTGTCAAGTATTGATCTTTTTCAACAGATATTTCCATAGAATCGTCTTGTTGATTTTGTGATAAGTATCGATTCTCATATTTCTCAATATGTAATCTTATTGCGTCAATCAATTCCTACAAGAAAAATATTAAAAAAAATTATTAAGGAAATTTATCAATATCTCCCACATCCTTTTCTTTTTGAAAAATACATACCGCCTCTTTGATAGGTTTAGTTAAGAAATCATTCATCCCGACATCCATGGCTTTCTTTACATCACTTTCAAAACTGTTGGCAGTCAATGCTAATATCGGTATATCTACACCACGTTCTCTTAATATTTGAGTAGCTTCATATCCGTTCATCACAGGTGTTATGATATCCATAAGTATGCATGCATATTGTTGATTTTGATTTTGATATATATCCACAATATCAACAGCTTCTTTACCATGATTTGCAATGTCCACTAAATAATTATTTCTCGACAACATTTTATATGTTACTCGTTGGCACACCAAATTATCTTCGACAAGTAAAATCTTTAACTGCTTTTGAGGTTCTGAAGAAGCAGTAGCTGTAGAATCAACTTGTACATTGGCAGATATATCTACAGAAGTAGAAAGTTTACCATCATATTCTGTTGTTAAAGTTAATGAAGGAGGACGAGCAGCATATGAAAAAGGAGGTGTGAGTATCGGGTTATCATTTGGTATGGAGAAATGGAGAGGATGTTGCTGTGGTGAATTTGAAGTGGATGATGCACCGACAGAAACAGATGCGTTATTTGGAGGCATCGGCATGTTCGATATATTCCGTCTGTTCGACATAGAGGTTGAGGTATTTAATGAAAAATTGCTACTATTTTTTGACTTAATTGAACCTGTTTTAACAGACTCGGATATTAGATTATTGAATTCCTGAAGAACAGGTGGAGCATTAGCATTACCACCAGAATAATATGATATTATAGGAGGAAGCGTATTCTCCTGCGATTCTATTTGAACGCTGCTAGCAATGTTTTTGTCTTCGTTCTTGTGTATTATAACGTCGTTCACAGAATTTTGTGAAAAATTAGCAGCTAATGGAGAAGGTGATGATTGATCATAATTACTACTATGAGAAATGGTACTCGCTCTGGCTAATCCAGATGCCAACATTATACTTCCTTTTCTAAAGAAATTAGTAGCGGCATTCGTAGCTGACCTAGTACTGCTAGTATTCTTTGCCCCGCTATTACTTACAAACATTTCTTCTTCATTATCTTTTTCTTCTTCTCCGCTCATGGTTGCAGCTGCTGTCGACGTCAATGTAGCTCTTCGTTTCTTCCTTATCGTACTCTTATATGTTCGGCTAATACGATGTGGTTTTGCTAATGACATGCTCCTCGTGCTACGAAGCTGAGCCTGTGCCTTAAATTCAGGAGTTACTCCATGTTCAACAAAATCCGAGCTTACTAGTATTGTATCATCCATCAATTTACCATCGGTTGACCCGGGTGCGCTGGTAATTTTGAATGAATTTCTGCCTGCACTACCAGCTTTACTAAGGACTGTGCTATCAAACGATTCTCTTATTAAATGTCCTTTTTCATTATATTCATTAGCTTCCTTCGTTAATAACCATATCTCAAACCATACATGATTACTAGCATTGGCGCCTTCTTTTAATTTACCACCGCCAACAATATTACTATTCTTGTTCACTTTTTCTATGACTAATCTTCCTCCCATTACCTTAACAATCGCTTGGGCTAATGCCATTGATAAACCTTGTGCATGAAATCTTGATCCAATACTACTATTAGTCTTTGAGTATGGTTTAAATAATTCTTGTATTTCTTCATCCGAACTCAATCCATTACTTTGGTCTCTTACTGAGAATCTCAATAGTACACCTTTGCTACGATGAACTTGTTTCTGTTCAACTATTAATTCCACAATTCCATCGTTCGGTGCAACTTCAATACTCCTCGACAATAATTTCATTAATATTTGTTCCAATCTACGTTCATCACCGTATACTTTTTGTAATAATCCTCCATCAATTATTGTCTTTATTTGAATGTTTTTATGATCTGCTTCGATAGATTGGATTTTGGCTATGCTGTCAACCAGTGTGTGGAGACTAAATTCTTCACACTTTAAATCGATTTCATAAGGGTCTGGATTGGTGAAATGCGTCAAATCGAGAATATCGTTTACTATAAACGATAAGAACTTTCCTGCTGACATTATGCTTTCCAACTCTTCAAATTGTTCTTTTTCTTTCAATGAATTTCGTAACATTTCCGCAAATCCTAATATCGCATGTGTAGGGTTTCGTATCTATATTGGTTCGTAAAGTTGAAATTTAGATTCGTTATATATAAGAGAAAAAATAAAAATTATTTCGCGTAAATTTGTTCATTTTATCGTACCTCATGACATAAAAAGAACAAGAATTCCGTTTTACTTTGATTAGCTAAATCAGCATCTTTCTTGGCTTCCATAACTAATCTTTCATTCTCTTTCTTAAATGATACATCTCTAAACATTACTACTTGTGTAAAATAATTTTTCTCAACAATTGGTTGAGAGAAATTGGCTTCCGCTTCAAATACTGTACCATCTTTCTTTTTTGCTAATACATCCCTCATACCGGGTCTAACAGGTACATCTATAATGAGATTATTTTCATTCGATGGATCGAGTGATGCAAGATTTCTTTCCTCCATTGGTGTTTCAGCTGCAGGAAGCAATAATTGATTTATATGCATCTTATTTGCAACTTTAATTTCCTCCGGTGAATATCCTGTTACTCTTAATGCATGCTGATTAGCTCCAACTATTTCTCCTTTGGAATTCAACGCGACTAATGGATCTGCTATCGCTTCTAATACAGCTTTTGAATCCGCTGTTATTGATTTAAGAAGACTCTGCGTTCTTCCTAATCTAGCTGTTTGTTCAGTAAATCGATCCCGCGTTTTAAAAAGTTTTCTAAAATATTTCATTGATAAAAAGGCAACAAAAATAAAGAACACTGCAATTAGCACAAAAAATACCGCTGGCGAATATCTTGATATTGATCTATTGTATTCAGCCATAGAAGTACGACAAGTAAATGACCATTGACGATCTCCTATAGAACGATTTTCCTGTCTACTAAAATCAGAAGAATGCCAATTTATATTATGATCTTTGGTATAAATAGATGTACCACTTTCTACATCAACTATATCAAATCCAATACTAGTTTGTTCATCAACTCCCTGTGTGACAGTTTCAATAGTATGGTCCAACTCATACGCTCCTACAATGAACCCATAAACATCGACGTTCGCACTTTGTACCACTTGCTGACCGACGCCTTTCACGAAATTATTATAAAATGGAAAAAAAACTACAATCCCTTCTTTTTGTTTATTGTATGCCAGTGGAATTCTCGGAGTTATTGTCAGTTTTCTTGTTTTTCTCGCTTTCATAATTGCTGCTTTCCTCTCATTTTCTGATGACAAATCGAAGTTCAATAAGGTCGATGTATCATTTCTCCAAGGTATAGAATATCGTATGGGGAAATATTCCGTGTTATTAACTCGTAGAATTTGCTTTCCATTTTGATCGTCCCACTCTCTAATTATGCCATGTTTCGCTTCATAATTTGAACGTTCAACATCAAGGATTTTTGGAGAAAAATTCATCGTGCGGATATCCTATGTAATAAAGAAGGAAAAGTCAGCATAATCATCAGGAGGGCTTGTTTTTATTTTCAAAAAATAAAAAGGGAGAAATAGAAGAGGAAGATCAAGAAAGGACTAGAAAAAAAAAGTTCTATAAAGTAAATAAAAAAATCTTCAATTCTTTCCGTCTATATCATCCCACACTTAAAACCAAATAAACAAACCTAGTTAAGTGGTTACTTTATTATTATTACTATTATTATTACTATTTAGTAATAAAAATAAAATATATATATATATAAGATATACCATATATATATATATTTATTTATTTATTTTTAATAAAAATTTGATCTTTTCCAGTATAATCCCTTGTCTTTTTATTTTTTTTTTTTTTTTAAAAAAAAAAATATATATATATATATATAATAAATAAATAAATAAATAAAATAAAGTTCCTTCTTGTTCTTGCTCTTCCTCAATTTAACTTCACTCAACATTACCATTTCAGTGAATGCAGATAGATTTCCGAACGTGTTCACGGTAACATCGCCTGATGCATCATCTATTATATTTGGGACAATGCCCGCGATTACGGTAAAAAATCCTACAAAGTCCTTTCCAATGTTCAAACCCGTCGTAAAATTAGCAACTATAGCATTTATTCTTTGCATGCATAGATTATCGAATGATTCCTTATAACGTTTTTCTTCTTGTGACATAATAAATAGTAATACCACAATAGCGATTGAAATTCCTATCAAGAAAATAATCAACGGGATACATATGATGATAAAATTTTCCTTTGTTGGTTTTATTAGTGTGATAAAGTTTCGAGGAGTTTGTGCGGTGGAAGAAGAATTTTGACTTGTACGTCTAGTTCTATAATAAATATTTCTTGATGGTCTAGAACCATTGTCTTGTGGGTTTGTATCATTAGTATCAGGAGATTGAAACGCCAATACATTATCAAAGTTCACTATATGATGGGTTGAACGATTGTTTTCAAGAGAGAGATCCGAAGACCGTCGTCGTGGTTGGTTGTAAAAATCGTAAGCGGTAGTTGAACATAAATCAGAGCTCGCCACCTCGTTATTAGAAATTTCCTCTTGTACAACTTGTATTAAGGAATTTTTTTCGTTTGATATATTTGTAGTGAAAGTCTTTATGGGAGTTAAATTATTATTTCGAAATTCTTTTTCCTTATCCTCATTCTTTTCCTTATCCTGCTGTATAATATTTGAGTTGTTATCGGTCATTTGAGGAAATAACCCGGTAATTATATGAGGTATGGAACGTTGACGAGAAGAGCGACGCCTAACCCTTTCGCTGTCATTCGATGAAAAAAACCAACGTGGATGACGCATATATAAGTAAAAAAAAAAAAAAAAAAAAAAAAAAAAAAAAAGAGTAAAAAATAATAATAAATAAAAATAAAAAGGATGATGCGCGTAAATATAAGATCCGAATTTCGGTACACATGCAAAGCGCTGGGGCTTAAGTAATTAAAAGGGAAGTTGGATAAAATAAGTTTGGAAAATTTATCTTAAAATATATTATATTAAAATATAGTAGATTTGATACAAATTTGGGAAAGCAGCAAAAAATTTTTTTTTCATACTTTTTTTTTCCGGGGTGAAATGAGAGGTCAGTTAAAAAGACCGACGATCCAGGATGTCTGATTACAGAAAAATGAGATTAGCACAATTTAATTT